CCCAATGTAGATTTTTGTTGCTTTCGTTCAATATATCGGATGGCTCTAAGTCTGATGGGTGATTTCTGGGTTCTCCATTCTACTCTACTGGTCTGAATGACTATTTTTATACCAGTACCATGCTGCTTTGTTTACAATAGCTTTATAGTATAATTTGAAGTCAGGCAGTGTTATGCCTCCAGCTTTATTGCTTTTGCTCAGGATTGCTTTGGCTATTTGGGGTCTGTTGTTTTTTCCATATGAAATATAGGGCTTATTTTTGCATTTCTGTGAAGAATGTCTTTGGTATTTTGATGGGGATTGCATTGAATCTGTAGATTGCTTTAGGTAGTATAGACATTTTCACAATGTTAATATTTCCAATCCAAGAGCATGGAATATCTTTCCATCATTTTGTGTCCTCTTTAATTTCTTTCAGAAGTTGTTTGTATTTCTCATTGTAGAGGTTTTCATCTCCTTGGTTAAATTGGTCCCTAGATATTTTAATTTTTTGTGTGACAATTGTAAATAGGCTTACTTTATTTCTCTTTCTGTTGATTCATTATTTGAGTATATAAATGCTACTGACTTGGGGACTTTTATTTTCTATCCTGCAACATTACTGAAGTTATTAAACAGCTCTAGGAGTTTTTTGATAGAGTCTTTAGGTTTTTCTATAAATACTATCAGGTCATCTGCAAATAGAGAATGTTTGACTTCATCTTTTCCAATCTGGATTCCCTTTATTTCTTCCTCTTGCCTGATCATTCTGGCTAGTACCTCCAGCACTATGTTAAGTTGAAGTGGTGAGTGTGGACATCCTTGTCTTGTTCCTGTTTTTAAGGGAAAGACCTTCAGTTTTTCCCCATTCAGAATGTTACTGGGTGGTAGGCTTTTCATAAATGGCTTTTATTGTGTAGAGACATTTTCCTTCTATACCCAATTTGTTGAGAGTCTTTATCATGAAGGCATGTTGAATTTTGTTAAATGCTTTTTCAGCATCTATTGAGATAATCATATGGTCT